CTGGGGCAATGAAAGGTGCTGACCTGCAGTAGCACAGTCATACAGAATAATGCAAACACATCAGCTGTGGTGTCAAGAAATCACAGCATGGAACAACACAGACACCCTGCAGACAGGAATCCTGTAGTGTCCCCTGCAGGGACCCCAAAACTCTCTCTTGTCATCAACAACCCAGCATTGTGAGGAGAACACAGATATACCTATTGCACTTGAGACAGACAAACATCAGGTGCCATGATATAATCAGAGGGAATGACTCCTCATACCCTTTGCAGCTGCCTACAGACAGCACAACAAAACAAACACGTTTCCCTGGGGGGCAGATCGGAACCAGACCCTCTGTGCTCATACAGGGACACCCTGGCAAGGCGGGATCCTGCTGCAGGTGACAGCGTCAGCGCTCGGGCTCACCTGAAATGACCCCGCTCCGTGGAGAAGCAGCAGCATCACACCTGCCTCAAACACCCCGTGCCCCACGGCGCCGCAGTGCCGCACGCCTGCTGCCTTCACATCACAACCAGGTGACAGTCTGCTGTCAGTAAGCAAGTGACATCAACTGCAGTGACAACTGTGTGATTGTGGTGACAGCGTGCAACGGGGTACCAGCCATTCCCACGTGGAAGCAACCTGAGCTGCATGCAGTCCTAGCATCAGAAACACGGCAGAGCCACGTGTTGCAGAGTGCGTCGACACTGCGTGTAATGGGGCAACATAGCAAGCAATGGCACAGTTAATCCCGTCATTAGTGTCACAAACCCACAACCCATAGCCACACAGTTAGAGTAACATGAAAACCACTGTCAAGCTGCCGCAGAGACATATTAATGCCACTGACAAGGACACAGAGTCACCTAGAATGTCACAACTGCCTCTCCCAAGTGATAGAATCATTGCCATTTTGGACACAACACCAGCAGCATCAGACTTGCAGCTGCACCCTCACCTGGAGCACAGCAAGTCAGGCCTCCACGACCATAGAGCATTATCTAGGACATTAGGTCCCACTCCTCTCTGCTCTAGCTTCCACTGAAAGACTGAGATCTAAATGGTGTTTCTCCAAGACACTGGGTATCCTGCGACAGGATCTGRAAGAGCAGCTTAGAGTAACAATCACTCCGTCCCCTCCTCTCCTGCAAACCTACTGCCAATGTTAGCCCTGATCATGCTAACAAGCCCCTGGGTTTTATTACTCGTGATACTAATAATACTGGACACATTACGTCTGCTCCCGCCAATAACAGGCTGCAGATATGGCCCCAGCTAATGCCGATAATACTGGGGGATATTATCTCTGCCATTGTCAGCACTGCAGATGATATTGCCCGTAATGCTGTCAAATACTACAGATATTGTCGGGAACAAAGATTAATAATGCTGAGATTTTTACAGCACTAGCTTCACTGGAACAAGAATCCCAAATGAGAATTTGGGTCTGTAAAGGAAGTCTGTTTGTGGCTGGTTATTGAGAGAAAAAGTTGTCTTTAATAAGGGCGGTTTTGCAAAGATCACAAAGGTTTCACCYGGCTGGAGATGCTATGGAATGTAGGAAACAGTTTGAACATTTCTTTAATCTAAAATATTTATCTATCTATTCATCTGTTYATCCACCTATGCATTCATCCCTCCCTTTTTCTCTGTATACGGTGCCCAAGACTACAGTACCTGCATGCTCCTAATTTCGTGTTAGTGCCTCTGGGTCACCCCRTTCTCATGCTTCGAGCTGTCAAGCAGGCACCTCAGCCTGATATTTTCCCCCTCATCCTCCTGGACTGGTCACTGTCTGCAAGCTGCCTTCCTCAGCTTGAGCTGCTGTCACARCACAGGACAGCGTTAGGGTGCAGAGAGCTAGAATTCCCATTCCCCTCTGTGGATTGATATGGATGCCCACAGTGGCCTTTGGAAACTCCTCACACCCTGCAGTGCCTCCTCTGGAAGATGGGAAGGAGGGGACTAAGTGGTGGAGAAGGTCAGGAGGAGATTGCGGCAACACTGGCTGCGCCCACAGATGSCAGGAAAAGGAACACAGAGCTAGACAAGTGGTGGTGAACTTAACACAAATTATTCAAAAAATGATGGGTGCCTTGGTCTCTGCTGCTCAGTCCCAGTCTGTCACTGAAGTCAGAGGTTTGCAAACAGCTGGCAAAAACCAGCGCTGAAGGGATGGTCCTTCCTGGCAGGCACTCGCACCCTGCCCCGCGGCTCCCTCGGCACCCCAGTGCCCGGGCCAGCCTCTCCGTGCAGCACGTTGGGCTTCCTCGAGCGGAGGGGCACACGTGGCTGTGAGCGCCTCGCCGAGCCCACCTCCTGCACCCGCCTGCTCCTCGTGCCCAGCTCGCGAGTTCTGCTACATCGTCTTGACACATAATTATCTCCCTTCTTCTTAATCGGCTCTGCTGCTGCCTAACGCAGGCAGCAGCTGCAGCAGGGAGGACCTGGTGGGGGGGTGCTTGCATAGAGGCGCCTCTGTCTTGCTCCCACCCTGTTCCCCCATCACACAGGGTGCTGGAAAGGTTTTCACGAGCAGGGGTTCAGGAGAGCACCAGAGGTTCCTCAGAGCATCAGCCTGGCGGCAGGGCTGCTCCAGTGGCACAGAGAGCAGAGAGCAGTGCTCCTTCCCTGCTCTGCTGAAGGAAGAGCCGCCCCCGGAATGCTAGGAGGGCACATTTGGGAGCCCATAAGGGAGAGCTTTCCATTGCAAGCTGCAGAGCTGCAGCAAACCGTGCACAGCAGCTCTGGGAAGTGCTGAGAGGGCGTTCACATGTGGTGTGAACACGACAGAAATACCTGCGCTGGGCTTCTTGCCTCACCTGCGTATCCCCCCACCCAGGAGCCGTCAGTGCCCACAGAGCTGCAGGGACACTGCCCAGCAATATGTGCAGGTCATGGACTGTGCAAGTCCTCCCCTTGGAGTCTTCTGGCTTTGGGCCCATCCCTGCAAAGTGATGATGTCTTTCCACATTGCTTAGAGTAAGCAGAGCCACGGATAACCCGGCCCTTGGATGGGGAGTTTCAGCAGCTGGCAGGAGGTCCCCTGCGAGCCTTCTCCGGGMCAGGAACGGGACATCCCCTTGGGGCAGAGATCTGGCGTGACAGAATGAAGGCTGCTCTCTAAGGCAATCAGAAGCCCTTGCAGCTGCAGCGTGCGACTGGCACCTGAAAGCCTGCGAGCCGGGGGCRGGCAGCACCTTCGGAGCTGTCTGGTATCTCTTTGATTTCTAGTGGGCTATGTGGGCACTTCGCCAACAACAGGGATTTGCAGAGAATTTCTTTGCCTTCATAAATCAAAGCTGGGGTGAATCAGGACAGGCAGCAGGAGCTGTTCTTAATGTCAGTGCGTCATTGTGGAGCGTCACAGCCTTAGATACCCGTTTGAGTGTTTCTCTGTTTAATGGTACTGCTCCAAAATGCTCAGATTCTGGGGCTAGAAATGATTGAGCGGCTGCATCTAAACTGGCCTCATCTTTCCTGATCCTTGGAAGGAATCACTGCTAAAACCAGCCTGAGCTACTTCATTTGCAAATGAGATGCCAAGGCACCGTGTTGGGAACTGGTGATCTCCAAGCTGGAATGTATGCAAACCGGGTCACAAAGATGGCCAATAGTGCCAAGAGATTTGCACAACTATTAGAGAAACTTGTCGTTTTGATTGAAATGTCACTATCTGCTGTATATGTAATGATGAGAAGTGCTGGAGGGGGTTGCAGTGTTTGCAGACTCTTACTCATGCCATGCTCTGACTTTGAGGCATTGACTCAGCCCTTCCATKGCTATACTTTTCTCTTACTTGGGCCCTGCTGCCATCTAGCTGGGAAATGGATCTTCCTCTGGGGCCTGATCCCATTTCCAATGACTTCAGCRAAAATCTTTCCATTCACTTTATCAGGAACTGAGTTGGGTCCCTGTTTACAGCATCCAGTTTTACTTTATCAGGCTACAACAATTGCCTTTTTCTTGGGATTACTGGGTTTATTTGGATCCCAAACTTGCAGATATGAACCTCACAAGAAGAAGACATGGAGAAGATGACGGGCATAACCCCAAAGTGCGACATCCCTATGAGGGGCCTTTCTCTTCCCACCACGTGTCATGGAGAGCCCCGGTGCTAGACCGCAGCCCTGGRCGTACAGTGAGTCACCGTTCCTGCTCAGAGGTCCCCCATGCAACAGGCAGCAGTGGAAAGCAACATAATGAAGGCAAAGCAGAACCAACCAACCAGCGCAGGTACCACTCTTGGGAAAATTCACCTCCTGGTCCTCAGTTTTTGAATGTATCCAAATTAAAGAGCAAGATTTAAGACAGAACATTTCCAAAGCCACCATAACAGYACCAAGACTTTCCCCACTTCTCCTGACCTTGGACCTGGGGCTGCAGCTCGTGGCTCATTTCAAGATTCACTGTGCCCTTCCCTCCTTCCCAGGTAGGAAAGAGAAGGAGATACCTTAATCCTAATTTCTCAGGGCACTCAGGAGAGGCCTAGATAACACCTTAGGGCCACAGAGCTCAAAGACCTCTTGTTCTATTTTCAGGTGGCTTCAAATATGGCAGTTCTGCAGCTGTAGACGCTACCCATCAAAACCTGAGCCCTTCTGATCACATCAACTAATGCAGCTTATGGCCCGTCACAGGGCAGGACCTTGTTTGCAAGGGGAGTGAAGGATCCTCCCACATTGCTGGTGCTTCCCCACGATGGCGTTTGGTTAGAAAGTAAGTCAGGAAACGTTGTTTGCCTGGGGTTCAAACCCAGGCCCCTGCTGGTCCCTGGGGCGCTCCGTTGCAGCCACCTCCAGCAGCCAGTGCCCCGGGATCAGCCCCGTGGCCTGTCGCACACGGGGCCCCGTGACAGGGACGCTCCAGGCCAGCAGGGCACTGGCGCGGAGCTGGTCCYTGGTGCTAAAACTGATCTAGCCCCTGGAGCAGCTGCAAACCTTGGCCTGAAATTGGAGCCTGTACATGGGGACAAAGAATATAAAAGGGAGGATAAACTTCTCCCCGCCCCCTACCTTCATCACGTTTCCTCTTCTCGCCATTCGACCGAGGAATCCCCAGGATCCCGTTAATGGAGTAAGAGCCCACTGGATCATTGGAGGCACTGGAGACGGGAGGGGATGCTGTGCTGGGCACTGGACAAAACGAAAAGGGAGAAAGGGCCATGAGGAGAGCGGCGCAGCACTCGGGGACCCCAGCTGGAAGCTGCACGTGCCACCAGTCTCTGAGGAATGCCTRGGCACAAACAAAATCCCAGTCCCTCACAGTGAAGCACTCACACTAATGCTCCTGTACCGCTAAATTCCAGCTTTTCAGGTCCGATCCCATGCTCCTGTACCACTTTGCCAGTCCAATCCCATGCAGTAGCACCACAGCCTTGCAGCTGAGGCCAATAGCAAGAGCAAGTATGTTCCATCAAGAACTTGGGCCTTGTTCCCGTGTTCCAGCTCAGAGCAGGTTTCCCAGCAGAGCTGAGGGCCACATCCACATGGGCTGTGTTCGCTGGTGACTTCCTAAGCTATCCGTGTTTTGACAAGAGCATCATACAGATCCTTTCCACACAGCACTTATCCACAAGGAAGGCACACGTTCTGTYTTAGCCAGACCAACCTCCTATGTGTCCACCCAGTACACTCAGTCAAAAATCATCTCSCCTTAGCACAGATTAGAGCATTTCAGTGCTTAGGCCAGTAAATTCAGTTCCCTATTAGGACAAATCATGAGCTGATGATGCATCCTCCAGCCCAGGCAATCTCGAGTCTCCTGCTGCACTGACCAGTGCAGACAAGCAGACTCCTCCTGCCACTCAGGCCTGGCCAAGTTTCCCTCATGAGTTCCAGTGTATCAGAAATGACAACTCATCCAGGTTAGAAATAACCACTTCATGATAACCAGGGTTTTAGAGTACAGACCAAGGGGAATTCTGAATCCAGTAGGCAGGGCTATTGCATCCCAGTGTGCCCCAGTAAATAGGAGCACACCCCAGTTCTCTCATGGGCTGTCCATACCCATCATTCACGCCATAAAACCTTGAACCACAGCAAGTAATGCCTTCAGTTCAAGCTTTCCAGGAAGGAGCAGAGCCTGCCAGCACTGCCCAGTGTTGACCCACACGTCCCAGTCTGCACCAGAACACAGGAGGCTCCAGCAGCAGCACTCCCAGCCGCTACCTCAGCTCAGCCAGCACATTCCCTGGACACCGCAGCGCTTCTCCAAGAAGGAATAATATCTGCCAGCTCCATCTGGTGTGCTCAGTGCTTCCCTTTCCCGTGAGCAAGTCCAGTTAAAAAGGGCATCCAGAAATGCCGTTCCATAACAGCCCATTCTGTTACAGGCTGAATTCCATTATGTCCCTGAACACAATTCACCTACAGGATCACACCTGGCAGCAGTGTCCATTTGAACCAGTCTTTTCCAGTCAATCTCTGCACTGCAGTTGACTGTCCAGTAACCACCAGTATCCAAGAGTGTCATGGGCCACAGCTGGCCCTGTATCTCACAGTCTCCCAGAATACAGCAGGTTTCTTCCTGCCCTGAGTTGTTACTGGGTTACAGCATGTTAGCAGCAATGGGCATGATCACCATGCAGTCCAGAGCCATCAGTGAAAGCCATCACACATCTAGCACAGTGCCTTTAAACACAGCAGACTAGCAGACGTTTCGAAGCTTTATTACAGTCTCCATCTTCTGCTCATCTCAATAAAGCCATCTCCCCTAGCAGCAAATATATTTTCTCAGTGAAAAACACCCTGGGGATACCTGCCTGCAGGGCTAGAACAGGGAAGAACTCAGTTGCAAGGCATCAGAAATATCTCACTCTAATCTGTGTGCTAAAGAARCGGGCCAGTTCCAGCAAAGGGGAAGAAGAGAAACAGGGAAAAAGAAGGGCGTGGCAAGGTGGAATAAGGAGACAAAAAGATGGAACTTAGATAGGACAGGGGAAGATGCTTCTCCTTAGGGAGTAAAAGGAAAATGGATGCAGAGACTGAAACACTTYGAGCAAGCTTATACCTTGAGGCAGTTTTTCTGCCCTGATACCCCTCCTTGCAGTGTAGTTAAGGCAATGGAGAGCAGAAACTTGGTTTCCTCATGAGCTTCCTTTCCCCCCACCCTTCTCCCCTTTGCTCTGCCCAAGGCCCTGCCAGTGAGACTTGGTTCCCCCAGTGAAGCCTCATCCCGGTCTGCCCTTGTCCCGCGCGCCAGGCCGCTCACCGATAGTGTGTCCTGGTGCGGTGACGCCGGTGCCACTCCCGTCCGGGGTTGGGTGGAAGGGTTGCTGAACTTTGGTTCTGATAATCCTGGAAAAGAGCAAAATGTGGTCAGAACTCAGCTGCTCACACAGCTTCCCTGTGGGTTTGTACAGAGACCRGAGCAGTCGCCGTTACCCGAACCTCAAAGGCCAAGCTGGCCTTTGGGTGCAGTGTTGTGGGCAAGCGCGGCTTTTGACTCCCCAGCCCGCGATTCTCCTACTTTAATGGTCACAGGACTTAGAGTCAGTTCCAAAAGGATTGTTCCCCCCAACCGTGGATAGTCACTGCATAGCTACAGTGCTTACTGAGCTTGTACTGGTCTCTCCTRTGTGCTAGCGACTGTGTTATCATTTGTGATCTGATTGCAGGAGGCCCATTTGCAGCTTGGTCATCTGACAGCCTTTGAGGCCACTGTTGGATTTGCCAACAGTGCAGATTTCACTTTGTTGTGTGCCTAGAAGATACTTTCTGGCTTTGAAGCAAATAACTGCAACTTATGGAAGGCTCTACAAAAGCCCTGTCCTTCCTAAACAAGCAGTTGGGGGCAGAAAGCATCGGTTGGTGGGAAGAGGTGACTGGATACAGATGACCAGGAAAAAAAGAAGCTGCAGCACAGAGACACCTTTGGTCTGTGTCGGGTGGTGAAGGAGTGCAGCATGGGAACCCCAAAAAGGAGCCTCAGCCAGTGCCCCTGAGCTCAGAATGCAGCTCAGATTGAAAGCGAGCTGAGCTGTAATTATCAGTGCTCCAGTTCCTGTTACAAGGCATCTTTCACTGCTGGGTCACTGGTTCCAGTGCAGCTGAGGTCAACGGTGAAAGAAAATCACTAGCACCTAACACTGGACTCGTGGGGCCCTCTCCACTGGCAGCTGCTGGGTATTTGTGGCATAGGAAACACTCTCTCACCAAGGAATTTAGCAAGTAAGGCACAAAGTTTGGAGGCCATGGAGACAAAATTCCCTCTGGGATTAAAAGAAGTCTCTCTGATTGGAGTGAAGGTGTGCATGCTCTYTGGGCTCTGTTTCTGGATCTCAGTATTAGGGGAGTTTTCAACAGTCCCCAAATACCCCTCCAAAGTGAAAGTAATGAACTTGGCATTGCCCCTGCCAGCCCCGGGCTGCTGCCAGGAGGCTCTGCTCCCTCAGAGACACGCTCTGGAGAACAAGTTGGCAAAACTTCAAAAAGCAAATGTTTGTCTGGCCATATGTCATGGATAAAGCAGCCTTTGAGGTGGGCAGAGACTTTGAGAGGACTTTTCTGGAAAAGCATCACTGGTGAGAGTGAGAGGTTCTGAGGAAAAAGGAGCCTATTTCAAAGCTTGTCACTTCATCGTGCTTGCAAGTTCAGTTATTTACATGATGAAACCTGGGCAGTAATTGGAGCGGCAGAGAACATGCCTGGGACATAGCTGGACACAGGTGGTGTCAAGGTTCATAGCTGGGATGGAGACCCAGCTCCCTGTTAATCCCAGTTCAGTGGCACCCCAAGTCCTTATTTACAGCTGCTGAGGACTGAGGCAGAAGGTCTCAGAGGCCCTTGGGGCCAGATTCTGAGGTCCTGCTGATGTTTACTAGCTGAGGAGCTGAGCTAAGAAGTCTAGGCCAGGACAAATAATATAACTTTCTTATGCTTTTTTTTTTTCTTTTTTTTTTTTCTTCTCTCTCACATTCTCCCTGCAGCCCCCTGAAGTGCCACTCTGGTTGTGTGAGTTTATTGATTCCCCCCAGCCCAGAGAAACAGAAAGAGGGGATGGGGTGCAGGCAAAGGGATGGAAATAGAAAGCTATAAATTATTTGTGACAGGAAAGCAATAGTGCCAGAGTGCTGAGCACAAGTCCCGTGTCACTATTAGATTCCTTTTAGCCTGATGACACTGTAAAAGAGGTTAAGTGTCTGATGGAATCGTACACCTTGGGGGCAGGGGCAGTCCGGGAGCAGAACAAGGCACACAGAGCAGGTATATCAATTCTCCAGGCCAATAATATTCCCCTCATTGATCGCAACACAAAGTTCAAAAATCTCATTATAGCCAGGCAGACCTGGAACTTTTTAAAAATCAATAGAGTGATATAATGTATGTATACTTTGTATAAATGTATCTATCCATCCATCCATCCATCCACCCATCCCAAATCCRCCGGAGGCAGTCTGAGGTAACCTACACATTATGCGGTGTTATGTTCTATTGTTCTGGAGCACGAGGAATGGCTTAGAAGATTCCCCCTGCAGCCTCAGATGACATATTATAAAATGTCCTATTAGCATGAGATGACATCAGATGGTTCCTGCCATACGGAGAGGTGACATCAGGCGGTTCAGCCTCTACTCAGGGCTTCCTTGGGATGAGCCTCATTCCTGYGGGATGTGCAGAGTCATGCTGCATGAAAGCTACCACGTCTGGAGAAGCCATTTAGAGGAAAAGCAGCCCATGAAGCAATGGTGGTGTAAAACTCCTGCCTGCAATGCTGCAGAAACTGAGGCAGGGGGTGAAGAGGAAAGTTCCCTTTCCTTGCCTGGTGAGTTGGCTGTCTGAGAATGCCAGTTAGTGGCAGCTGTGACTGCGCTTGCTGAGACGTGTCCGCTAGGAACTGGAAGACCACCAGCCCGTTGCACCAAGTGGCCATCAGCTGGTAATGATTTTTGGTCACCACCAGCCAGGGCCAGGCTTCAGCTAGTGACCCAGAGGTGAAAGGCCCTGCTGAAAACCATTCCCCCTCTTCAGAAGGAAACAAGTTTTGTATCATGAGAAAGTGTCCGGAAACAGCGAGGAGAAAGGGGAGCATTTCTATTTCTATTTCTGACTTGGATCAAATAATTCTTGGCATTGAATGACTGAATCTAACAAAGTCTCAGCACTGAAGGCATTTCCCATGGTTAAAGGAAGAGGCTCTCCCCAGCAGAGCCCCTCGCCTTGCAGCTGGGCTCTGGTGCCACGAGGAAAGGAGAGATCCTCCAGGGCACTGACGTGAGTAGGGAGCCGAGCCACCCTGCTCGGGGGTGGTGCTGCCAGGCCTGATGCTCTCGCACTGAGAGGAGAGCCGTGCAGTGAAACAGCGGGGCAAGGTGAGCAGAGCTGCCGGTCCCACCGCAGCACTGCAGCCTGACCTGCCGCCTGGACTCGTGCAGTGCTCAAAGCTTCTGGCCCTTCCCAGAGGCCAAAACCGGCACTAAGGCAGCTCAGCCGCRCCAGCCCGCAATTCCTGCATTACTGCTATCCAAGAGGGAACACAGCCTTGATCTCCTCCTGCTGCTCTTGGTGGCCTGTTCCTACCTCTGAACACCTCAGAGACACTTGCCTTTTGCAGAACCCTTGCTCGGCCCTTGCTAGAAGAGGAGGGAGCACAAATCCTGGCGTGCCGCTCTGCAGGGCTGATTTCTTGAAGCGAATGCAGATTGTTCAAATGTCTTGCTTTTCTCAAAAAGAAATTGGCACTTTGGACTAAAATCATCCCTGCTCTAATTCCATCACAGTCAGTGATTCCAATAACAGCATTCGTGTTTAATTAGGAGCATAAACTAATACTTATTGTAAATTCCCATTTTTCATTTTCCAGTGGGGGATTTCTGTATAAGTTGTCTCCTTTGAGTTTCAAAGAACAGGCACAGATTTCATACATAACCTTCTGAAGCTTCACCAGAGGGACRTTTAGAGATCTTTGGTTGCAGTAAAGCAACTGGACTTCATTTTGCAATCTGAATTTAATATTTGATACGATGTTAAGAAATGGCATGTTATATCATTACAGGACATATCATCACACCATGAATTATACATCCACTCCTAGGATTCATGGGTTGCCGCAGCTGATGTTCAGTAACACTCCCTGCAGTTAATACCTCACACGGCTTCAGCTGAAACCAACTGCCCATTTTCAGACACTTCTTACTCTCCTTAGTGCTCAGCATTAGGTCAGGAGTTTCTAGTCTCTCATGGCTGTTTTGTTATTTCTGTTTAAATGCAAATCTTTTTGCTGACTCTGAATACAAATGGACAGATAAAAATCATCTATCCTGATACAAAAATTATAACCATCTCTAATCATGTTTTAAAGATAAAACTAGCTGAGATATAGTCCTTATTGAGAAGCAAAACTTTTCTTTGTTTATTTGTAAACAAGCAAGTGAAAGATCACTTGTAAATCTGCCTAGGAATTGTTTGCTGCGAGAAGGACAGACTAAAGAAACGTCCCCCTGCTTCTTGACACTACTTTTAGACCCGCTTCTAGTCTGAGGCCCTCTGGGGTTTCACCTCTCCTGCTATTGCTGGAGGAACCTATAGACAATATTTCAAATACACAGAATCTTAGCTAGCTCTATGGGTGCCCGTTCCCGGTGTGGCAATAAGCCGCTGGATGGCAGCAGGCCGGAGGAAGCTTGCCCGGGGTGAGCTTATTTGCCCACTGCAGAGCTCTTGCCGAGGCTGCTGAGATGGGGAAGCGGGAGGTCTGAACCCTCCGGGGCTCCAAGTTTAGCAGTTGCTCTAATGCTGGAAGAACTGAGTGAAGTGGCATCAAGGAAAGGAATGGTATGTCCGGCCGCCCCTTCCCAAGGGGAAGACCTTGACACACTTCAAAAAGCACCCGTGTCCTCACCTGGATCGTATTCTAYGACCGGGTTATTTTTCAGAGTGGAGGGGCACACACCGCAGAGCACCAAACTCCTTTTAATTCCTTTGGAGTTTTCACGTTTCACACGCTCCCTATCAGAGCGCGTTACGAGGCCCTGGCCTGTGCATTAGTGGCCGGTTAAAGCGGCCCTTGGACCACAGCGGCGCTGAGCGCCGGCCACGCCATGCGGCAGCCGCGAGGGCCGGCCCGGCTCCGTGCCCTGCCTCGGCTCCACAGGGAGCCTGCTGCCAGCCCGGTGTTGCCGGCATCCAGGTGTGTCCCRGGAAGGAGGAACGTGGGTTGGCAGAGCGAGCTTTGGGCTCCTTGCTGCCAGCTGCCCTGCAGCCAGTGACACCGCACGCGCCGGCCGGTGCTGCGCGGGCGCCAAGAGCTCGGACCATGGCTTTGGCTCAGGCAGGACGCTCGTCGGCTCCTGTGCTTG